GTGCTCAAAAATTTAACAACATTTTTTTAAGTAATTAATTTTTTTCTCAGCCAAATAACGTCAGTAAGCCGAAAAAACTTCAGGACATATACTTCGAAGTGTCCTCTACAAACTGGGAACGCTAGAGGAAAATCTAAATGGGGAACCCCTCCCTATTAAAAAAAAGCAATTTTTATAATGATGATAAATTTTAAAAAACAAATTGTAAAGATAGTAATATAATGCAGTCTATGGAAATCTGGCAATGAAGGTGCTTTCCCTGCACTCAATATATTTTTAAGCAAATAAGTGTAATTCGAGACGTAAATATATAGGGTGATGAAGAATTCCAAACGCTATCAGAATATGAGATTACTTTTATAAAAGAAAACCTTTATAAGAACAATATAAAAAAAACCTAACTACCCATCTAGCAGAATAATGTTTAATAATGCAAATTAATGGCATTATATTGCATTATTTGTGGATAATGGTCCCACTACATTTTAATGCACTGGTTAATCTTCTTTTTGCTTGAGGAGTATTCAAATGATAATTGACTATATTATTTGATACAAAATTCAAATATTGAAATTTAAATGGCAACGATAGTACGGTATAAATATGAACTGACGAATCAGCATAACACATTTTTGGATGTTCTAACCAATACAGTGTTTGATATGATAATATCAGATCATCTAAATTAAACATATTTGTTTTATCATAAAAATAATAACAAAAAGAAAAATGTTTCAATTTTAATAACTTTGTCAATAATTGTGATTGCATTTGATGAACCATCAATAATTGATCCTTTAAATCGAATATGTAATGATATACGTTCGAGTGAACTATAAAACTGTTGAATTAACAACTCTAAGTAATGATCTTTAAGAAGCGTCCTTCTAAATGAAATTCTTTTAAATATAATGACAACAATTTATCTGTAATTTTGTCATAATTATAGTCATCATCTTTTCCACTAACACCACTGTCTTCCCAATTAATTTCACTATCAAATTCGGACAATTGTTTATAACAAATATTTATTTGTATTTTTAAATATTCTAATTGAGGTAAATATTCAACTAGTAAAAATAAATGATAAAGACATGATAACGAAAGTGTTAACCGTTTTAAAGAATAATTTGGATGTAAATCAACTGGTTTAAATGATAAACAATAATCACCAGTATAGGTTAATGTTATATCTAACATGTTATATCTATGAATATTTGATTTATCAATTCTTGATCATTCCAGTGCTTATTACAATCTAATGTCAATGGAATACAAGTTTGTTTAAATACATTTAAATAGTGTGCATATTTTTCTTCTTCATTTTGATTTTTTGATACATCTAACCATATTATTGATGCCAGTTGTGGATATGTATCACAAATACTGGTTATCGTTGGATATAGAGAAAATAATTCATCCAGTTGTTTATGATCAAAGCGTATAGTAATTATAAATAATTTAATTATTGATAAATATTTATTTATCCATTGTTTATCCATTGTAGAAAAATCTATTGTAGTCATGCATCGACAGATTAATGCATTTAAACGATCATCGTTGATTTGTGAAAATATTTTAATAATATCTTATAAGACAAACTTATAAGACATTAAGAGCTAGTGTAGATCAGCCTGCGAAAAGGTTACCTCCTTGTAACTGGTAAAACGAACATGTTTATTAGGCTTCCTCGGTTTTTTTCTTTGTAATTTCTCCGTCGTCACGTAAGTAAGCTTGCAGGATACAAAAATTTATTTCTTCAGCAGAATAACATCACTAAAGACAACATCATTAAAGAGCTCGAACAGATTTTATAAACTTACCTAGTTTTTTAACGGGTTAGAATAGATTTGAACTCGTTATAAATCGTTGAACGACGAGTCACCAAATGCGTAATCGTTCAAGTGCGTTAGAACGGTAATTTTCCACCCACCGTTTTGTTTTGCATGACCAACTCATATATAAATACCATGTCTTTCCCTACGAGATATATGATACATTCACTTAGAAAGTTTTCTAAGCTTTCCTCTTACTATATATACGTGTAAGAAACTAGTCTACTATAATAATTCTGATGAACAGTATCTAGTACACCATAGCTAGCTGGATCTTGTGATCCATCAACACAACAAAAACCTGACTGGAAAGGATAGTAATAATACTTCGTTGCGTTTGCACTCGTCAGAATAATACTTCGGATCAAAATGTAATTTTAACGCGCTATAGTGCGTTTATCCTATCCAGTAGGTTTGTCATTATATTTAAAAGAATTTCATTTAGAAGGACGCATTCTTAAAGATCATTACTTAGAGTTGTTAATTCAACAGTTTTATAGTTCACTGGAACGTAAATTTATATGTATATCCTAAACATTCTTAAACCTGTGCTTTTCGATTAAATATACATCTATACGTGTTACCAAGTGACTGACGAGTTCTACTATTTTTTGGTTTTTTTAAACATATGTTGTAATCATTTTCTATTTTCATTTGTAAGTACAATAGATGAGATGGTTACGCAAACATTTCTCGATTTAAATTGTGAACGTTGATTATTATTTCTTTCTTGTTAAATTTGTTTACGTATTTGCCGTTGAGCTTTATTTTATTGTGCTGTGTTTCTAACAAAAAAGAAAAGAAAAAGATGTTGTGTATGAAAAGAATAAATACTTTTTCGAATTCTGTTAAACAAAAATCTTTGTTTTTAATTCGATTTCATTGAAAAATTAACAGATAATAATGATTAAAAGAGATTTTCTTTTACTTTAAAACTTAAACTCAATATTGATTTTGTTTTATGTTGGGTGTTTTTTCAAACTTTAGGACATTTACTTTAACAGTGCACGTCTTTCCTTTGAAGAGTAATGCAGAAGGATTATTATTTATTCAGAATTTTTATATGTTAGTGTATTAAAGTTTGTAAACACTGTGAAAACCAAAAGACTTTTAAAATTACGAAGAATAAAATCTTATAGAAAATGTGAGAAGAATAGGATTACTTTTAAAGAGATGCACAAAGCTGATTTTGTTGATTAAAATTTAGCAGTTGCTATAATAGGATAAAATTAGAACAACAAACGGATCCTAATTTCTAGAGCGATGTTGAGACTGCTTAAAAATGCAAGTGCAAATTTTAGTTACACTTACTCGTTACTATCCTTCTAATAGAATATAATCACTGTATTACCCTGGTATATACATCGACTTAGCCTAACTTAGTTCAAACTTTCACATCAAATACAATTTATCGTTGTATATTTTTATCATATGAGCATGATGAATCTGGACGATGTTTGATGTACAATTGTTAGGTTTTAAAGAGTCAGGTTGCTTTTATTCTAAACGAACATACGCAAATGTCATGTTTACTTTTATTGGAAATAAACAATGAATGAGATAATCAACGTTTTCGATTGCTCTCATTTTGGATAGAGTCACTAAAAAGAATTTTGATCCACCGTGAAATTTGTTAAGAAATTTAAACTACCTTTTAGAGTGATAAGCTCATTATCGATCCTCAGTTAGGTTAAAACATGCAGCTACTTAGAAACAAACATTTTAGTTACTCGGCAGACTTTCCATCCAACCCAAAACTTCTATCAGAAACACTGAAGATAATCACTTATAAAAACCAACGAGTATGTCACGATCACCTGTGGACCAACTTAGAATGGTTAATTCCAACGACCTAGTTCCGACTAGTCCAGTTTGTAATAAACTTTAACAGTTTCGAGAATGAGATGTAACACGGAAAGTTAATGTTTTTATAAAAAGATTTGGTTTAAGTGCATGGATTGCGTCAGTTCATCGGAAAACTTAGCATCTCTTATTTGTGATTTTATACATGTTGTACCGGATCACATTATCTACTCAATTATGGTATATGTGTAAAAGCGCGAGACAACTAGAATCCTGTTATCTGAACTTTTTCGTTACCATTTACCATACCGTTACCATCGATGTAAATTTTTTTTACCATTACCATCGGGAAGAATGTTTTACTATTACCAATGTTATTGGAATTCCCGCGCTAATACAATATATTCGCACAGAAAGAAAATAAGAAATAAAAACACATGCATAAGGCAGAAAACAAAGAATATGTAGGATCATGGACCAGCTTGAACGTTATATAACGTTTGACTATATTAAGTACACTAAAGGATATAAAATACATTGATAATAAACAGATGGTATGATTATGAACTCGAATCTGAAAACTGTCCGTTACCATTACCATGAATTTATATTTTTGTTACCATTTAACATCCATTACCAGGAATCAAAATTCTTTTTTTTACCATTACCATGGGAATGGTAAGGTAATGGAATTTTTTTATGACCGCTGAAGTCTAGAAATAACAGAGGTGGGATTGGTGCGTGTTTTTTTAAAACTGGACCGTAGCGTATCGGAACATTTTTTCAAAATTGACTTAAAACGAAAAATATAAATAAGATGTTTTCTTTTCGTCATTTGAGCAAGTTCATGTTTTCATGTCATTTTCTCTCTTTTCGATTGTGTCTAATCCAGTTTCACAAATAAACAAACGTTTAATTGTTATCGCAAAAAAACTTTTTATTTTTATTTTCGATCTGCATGGTCGCTTATGCTGGCAGTATTTGACGTCAGTTTTTGGATGTAAAATAGAGATTCATCGAAACTCTTCGATAAATCAGATAAATTTTATCTATTGTCATTTTCTATTTTTATGATTTTAATTTTAGATAGTGTCAAGTGACAAACTTAGTGCATTAAATCAAAAATTTTCATAAAATGGTATGATTATGTCCTTTTATCGTTGTGTTGTAAACTACCTACGTACTTACGATAAGTCCTGATAGGCCTCTGAGAAAACAAAGATCAATCAGCCTCTCTCTATAGATGACATGAAGGAAACTTTATATGTTGCATATGTTTTTTCGTTCCTAATAAAACTATCATAATGTTTGATCAAAGTATCGCTCTGAGCTGGGAGATATCTCACTTTAACCACAAATGTTTACTCTACGAACTGGAACCACTACAATCTTTTGTGATTCCGATGTTTCATTGAAATATGACAATTTCAGAAAAAAATCAGGTTTCTATGGCATTTAGAAGATTTATTGAAAATTTCCCAGAAACGTTTGATGTCGGCACAAATAGTATGGATTCTAAAAATGAGCACCTTGGGCTGGTCAATCATGTGTTTACTAGGAGTGTTAATTTAGTGTTACTTTGGAAAATAAATGTAAATAAATCATTTATACTTAAAAAGTAAAGATAAATTCGTCATTTATATTTAAAAAGTAAATACAAATAAATGAAAAAAAAATTTACTTTTATAAAATAAAGATAAATGAATCACTTACTTTTATATAATAAAGGTAAAGTAAAGAAATAAAGCTTTTCTGGTTGGTATTCTCCGTCCACAATCATGGTTTTTTTCTCGGAACTCGCTGGGCTTGTTCTATTAAATCTTCTCTTTTCGAGCTAGGATAGTTTCAGCTGCTCTGAGTAATTTATTAGGACTTAAAACCACTTATGCGGACAATGAAAGAGGAATAATCAGCTCATAATTTGAACGGAAAAGGAAAGAACAAAAACAGGACAAAAAGAAAAGCAAATTGTTATGAGTCAAATAGTAACAAATCTGGTTTAAAATATGGGGCTGATGGCAAAAAGATTGTGTTCCCGGTGCCACAGTCAGTCGAAAAACATATCAGGAAAATTTTAGCAAAAAACTGGGTGGTGCGAAAATATAAGGCCTTATTTTCGGAACCGATTAACTTTATTAAAAAATCGTACTTATTCTAAAACCAGACCTTCTGCTCTATCGATTCATAAAAAAATTTTCGCTGAGCGCTCTGGCAAAGAAAAACTAATTTTTCTTTTTCTGCTAAGTGTCTTCTGAAAAGGCATATGCAGTATAAAGAATGCGTGAACTTTAGCGGAACTTCAAATTCGATGACATTTTCACAAAATTTTCATCTTCTAATGGTACATGTAAATTATTTAAACGTTTTTATAAAAGAAATCGTACTTTGTATTTTTGAATAAAATCGTCCAATATAAAAATGTGCTAAAATTGCTGAACGTAGATAATCATCCGAGTATTTTTCCGGTAATTGTTTTGTCTTTTTATTGTACATTGTTAATAGAAAACATTCAAATGTTTGAATACCATTATGAGCTAATTGATTAATTTTTTTTGTTAAATGTATTGATGGTGTTTGATCATACAATGTTAATTTTAAATCAAGTATCGTTGAATAACATTCATTCAATTCAAATAATAATTATCTTACACAATGTAAATAATATTATTCATTTAATTCATTACACAATGGAGATATAAGATCAATACGAAGTTTATGCATTTTACATTGTCGTTCAATATCTAACTCAAAAAATACTAATTTATTATATAACTGACTAATATCTTGATATATTTCAACATAATCAGTAACAAAACCATCGAGAACATAATATTCTTTCGATTTATTTAATTGATTTAATCCAAATAAAAATACATGACGAGCTTGTTCATAATCAAGAACGTAAATGGCTGTAATGTATTCTTGTTCATATTTTTCAATATTATCTTTTTTAATTTTAAAATGAAATTTTGATTCAACTAATTTTTTAGATATGATCTCATTTGGATTTAAATCGTTATCAGCCGCGCGTAATAAACGTTGACTAAAATCAGCTGAAATAGAAAGTAAGATAAATATTTATTATTAGTTTTAGTTAATGAAAAGAATAGTATAAATAAATAGGATTTTTTAATGGCTAAGATGACCTATTCTAATTCTAGTTGCAGCACTCAGATCAACTTTAATCACCATGTGTCTGTCTGTTGAGGGAAAGTTACTTATATCATCATAGTGCTATTGATTGTGAGAGGTTCGATCCTTCGATCTTTCATTTACACATCTTTTCAGTCAACGCATTCAGCCAAATTATCGCGTTACCTAAAGAGATGTGTGGACAAAGTGTCTAAAGACGAATTGACGAGTCGCAACTTTTAAGCGTAAAAATGATGCAACAATTCGCGTTTTACCCTTATTTTGCGAATTCGTACCGAATTGATGTGAACGGTATCGAATTCGTATGGATACTCTTAAAAACTTTTACGAATTTTTCTTGCGAATTCGTAAACAGAGAATAGATCAAACACGATGCTAATCAATTCGCAAATAATTCGTAAAATTAGTTTACGAATTCCTGTTCACTGTTTTTGGAACTAGATTGATTCGTAAATACGAATTAGTGAATTCATATTACGAACTGATCCGGTTGAAAATGGATCCACGAATTGACAAACCCATTTTGCAAATTCATTGCGAATCGATGTGTACGCTTATTAGGCTACGTAGGGACAGGACACTTTTCTCTGAGATTAAAAATAGATAGATTCGTCTCTTCTCATCGATTCGCATACTTCTTATACCAATTCGCCGTCATTCTTACGAATTCGTAAAATACGGCATGTTGTGTAAATACTCACAGCCATTCTCACTGCCCACCCTCTGCTCGGCACATGCACACAAAAGGGAGAGAGATTCTCCTCTGTTTTGTTTCGCACAGATACATGTATTAATATAGTCTATTGTCACATTTTATGATTAATTCATTCAACTGATCAATTCGTATTCTACGAATTGGTAAAAATAAAGGCTAAGTGAGGTGAGAAGTATGCTAATCGATGAGAAGAGACGAATCTATCTATTTTTAACCTCAGAGAAAAGTGTCCTGTCCCTACATCAATCCGTATTTTATGAACTGTATTTATGAATTCGTGGGTTATGCTTTGGCATCTATGAATTCGTAAATTCGCATTTTATCGTATTTTTGCCAATTTACGAATTCGTACACGAATTCTTGGAGACCAAAATGATCATTTCACGAATTCGTCGATGATCGACCAATTCGATTTACGAATTCGTCCTAATTTACGAATTGGCAAAAGGAAGAAAAGACGCAATTTTTTGCTTCGTTTTTGATCATTTTTGTTAGTTCGCATCACTTCGCATTGAATTACGAATTCGCAAAGCAATGGTAAAATGCGAATTGTTGCATCATTTTTACGCCCAAAAATTGCGATTCGTCAATTCGTCTTTAGACACTTTGTCCACTCTAATGTTTCTTCTAGTATGAGATCAGCACATACAAGACAATGACGAGCTGTAGAATAATCGTCTGCATCCATGCAATATTGTGATAACGTTGCGAAATTTGTTGCCCAATCAATGGCATTGAAATTATCATCGTCACGATAGAGTAATTATCTTTCAAGTGACAATACTTTGCTGACTGTTCTTTTCATTTAATTTTGCATAAACTTGGGCTAAATAGTATAGTGTATGTGTATAAGCCAATTCAAATTCACAACAACGTTTTTTCTCAGAGATAGAATCATTTATTGATATTTCTATTAATTCTTTTAATCGTAAAGAAAATTTTGTTTCATTAACGGTCATCCTCTGTTTATAAAGTTGTTCTGCTTAGCTAGCATATAAAATTGCTTGGTCATATTTGTCGTATGATGCTTGAATTAATATTAATTGATTTAAAACACGTAAATTTAATGAACAAAAATATAGATGAAGTTGAACATTTTCAAGATTTACTAATAAGTCTTTTAAATATTTTTCTCCTTCAGTTTTTTCCTCTGTATCATTGTAAATCGTTGCAATATGATAGTCAAGTAATAGACAAATTAAATAATTGTTTTTAACTAATGCTAGAATAAACATAATAATAAAATATAAGTGCAAGAAGAAAAAAACCCAAGAACAACTAAAAAAGGATAATTTCTATTTAAAATATGAAAAAGAACAACAAACTGTATGCAAACCTACTTGATGTTGAAATATTGGTTTCAGATTTTGTCACGTTGTCTTTCATCACAAATGTTCTAGGCGTATTTGTTGTTTTATCATAGATAATATCTAGATCATCAAATCCATTGGTTAGAGGATTATCATCATCGGACACTGTTTGTTCACCACTAAGTAATAATTGGTCTTTAATATCATTAAAAATTTTCTTTGCTTCATATTTTGATTTACATGGATCATTTTCAGGAGCATTCAGACATTTAGCATAGCAAAGTTAAACGGCTTCTTTGTAAGATGTTTTAATATTTATCATCTAAAACATACAGTAACGTTGAACAAATCGAGTATATTTTAACAGATAGTCTATCAGAGACAAAAAAAGAAAAATCATCTACTCGTCATAAAAATATGAGAAAAAAAAAGAAAAACAGATATTAGAATAAAGATATAGTTACACAAATATATACAATATGCAAAAGAATTTAAAAAAATTTTAGAAGAAAATAGTGACATATATATAATCATTCACGGTTTCATTTATTTTGTTTTGTATCAGTGAAAGACAAGGGATGATATGAACAATTAAAGCAATAGAATAGTTTTAAAAATATGTTAATACGGTTAAAAACAATTGAACTTGATTTCAATTAAATGAAAATGGACTAATATAAAAATAAGTCACAAAATAAAGAGTATTATCCTCTGACAAAATCACAATTAAGTTTTATTGATTAAAAAATGTTTATATTTAATTTAATTTCGTTTTGTTATATATTGATTTTGCTTCATTTTATTCTCATATTTAGCTCGACAATGTAAATGAACAATATGATTTTGTGGAAATCGAATAATGATTTGTTGTGCTGATATTGGCGAATCACATGGAAAGTATGAGTCTCGTAGATAGCTCTGGTTTGTGCGCTTTAAGAAGGTCGTACCCAAACAAAACTAAGTAAGCGAGAAAATCTAGCTGCAAAAATAGCTGCAGCGCCCGCGTACAGCTAGGTTAACTAGATTAAAAAGTACATTTATCTAGCTGCATGTCGGTTCAAATCGTGTACTAGCTGAAACGACCACTGCATTGCTCAATTAATCGGGGTTGCAACTAGTTGAACATAACGAGATTATAACTGGACAGTCAATTGCTAAAAAATGTGAATAGATTCGAAGTGGTATTTTGAACACTAATTTTTCTTCGATTATCCATCTGTATGCAAAAGGTAAAGCAGTGCCAAGTTTCGCGAAAAAATTTCGAATTCGGTTTTTTAGTTTTTTGGACATTTCTCTTGACCGAGAAGTCGCAGAAGACTCGAGCGTCTCACTTTGTTCAGAATCCAATTCTCTATCGTTCTAGACCATTTTAAAAAAGTCTGGTTGTTGAGAAGCTTTTCTGAAGATCTGGTCTCTGGAAAACCCTCTGGTTTTTGAAAATTTTAAAAATGTTTCCATTGGATTTGCCATCGGTTTTACCCTATTTAACGCCATTTTCATTAAATTTGGACGAAAAACTCGGGACCTAGTCGAAAATGACCAAACCGTTTTTCGCTTCGGTACAAAGCTCTTAACATGAAAAACTAGATACAGTTACAAAATAGAGCGTGCCATTTTGACACGTGTCGATTCAGAGGTCCATGGCAGACGGGCATTTACCTCTGAGATGGCCTGGACACGTTTTTATAAATCAGTTTTCGACACTGATTCCGAAAAATATTATTAACACTTTCTATCTTTCAATACATATTGGATAAGTCGAATTTATGACAGAGCTCGATTTTTCAGGTTTTTCAGGCTGTCATAGTTTTTCTCAATTTTCTCTATGAAGAAAGGTTTTTTAAAGATCGCGAAGATGATATTTGAGATCAGCCCGTCACGGCGAATCAGAATATGTATAACAAAGGCAAAAAAATTCCACTGCATTTTTGCATCAGCTGAATCTTACAATGGTATACAATAATACCATCATAAGAACAAACATCGAACGTGCATGCCTGAAAATAGACGATTCATGTATACTGTTAGACAGCCACCTTCGCATGAATTGCATATAGTTTTGTGACTGTGATAATTACCACCCACAAAACAACCGTAAATGATTCATATCATTTAATTCTAATGAATAAATTAAAAGTTGTCGATTATATCAAAACAAACATCACCGGTAATCACCATCAATTACAAATCAATATCAGAAACGCATAAATATGTCACCAAGATAAATATGGTTTATACTCAACAGAAGCTGATTACATTAATCAAAAACTGGCATATCGAAGAAAAACCGATAGCAAATATCACATATTTAAATTTCCATATCTTAAAGAATCCAGCTAGCTTTCTAGTTTCTTGTCGTTATACATGTTTTTTCACTAAAACCAACCTGTTTTATTCAATAAAAATTCAGTTATCTTTATGCCAATATGCATAAAATCACAACAATGCAAAACCAATGCGTTCATTGTGACTAGGAATATTCGGTTCTCGTTAAGAACCGGAACCGCGGTTCGGTTCTGCAAGTGGAGCCGAAACTGCGGTTCTCTTGTTTTCGGTTCTTCATCGAGAACCGGAATCGCGGTTTTGTAGACGGTTTCTTTCTTTTGGAACAGAGACTTTTTTAACCATAGATAACTTAATACAGTTTTATTTTGAGAAAGCTATATTTAGCGTTCATAAAGTGTACTTGTGCGCAACTTCTTTTACATGAGATCTTCCATACCTGGCGAACCCATCGACTCTTCTTAGATAAGAGGTAAAGCCAATATTATTATGTCGTTATACTGACCATAACTTCTAGTCTTGAAACTGTTAAGATCAGATGATAGAAAACTACAGCATTGAAAGAAAAAGAACGAGTCTGACCGGACGATCAAATTTCTATTTTTTTACGAAGTGCAAAAAGGATGGGTGAAACAATAATTTGTTCTTTTCTCTTCTGCGTTATCTTTTTGTCTTGCCTTTCTTTTAACAATATGAAAACATATTATTGACAAAACTGCAAAAAGATATATTTACCTGCCATTATTTAACAGAATCCTTTGGTTTACAATAAAATTAATTTTATTTTGTTGAATTGTTACTGACTAAAAAATTATTCTCCGGCTCTAAGCTGAGAACCGAGAACCGCGGGTCTTTTCTAAGTCGGGAACCGGAACTGCGGTTCTCGGAACCGAACACCCCTAATTGTAACATCGAGCGATGCATCGCCTGTCTCAACTCCTTAAAAAAAAAATTCTCAAGTTCTGAACTTCTCAACTTCTCAGTCTTAGTTACTGTCTGATGGTTGTGGAACACTGTGTTGGTCGCGCAAATCTGTGAAAAGATGAATTTGCGGGAAATGAACATTCTGCATAATGTCAAACTTTTCTTAATTGCAGTACACGATGAGTTAACCGTGGTATTAACTCAACGTGAACAATATAGAAAAGATGCTGTATTTGTTAAAAGCTTACCTAATAAAGTCACGCCCGAAATTTTACCAGATCCCTTTTCTTCTTATGGTTATATTCGAGTGTGCCAAAGCTTCTTTCTGTATTCTGTTCACTTTTTGGCAGAAGCATAGCGATACAAGTATGCCCAAAATTAGCCTATTTCATAATCCAACAAGAGCCATGATTAATTTGGAAGATGAGGAATCAGCATCAAGAATTATACAACGTTTCCATAGTAAGTTAGCAACATGCAAGGAAATCCATTAGACCGCTCTTCATTTTTCCTGCTGTTAAAGAATTTATTCTTTGAGTTTATTATTCAACAGACTAAAATTTATGTGCATTATATAGTACAGAAGCGAAAAGAAAGAGATTGAACATACACCCAAGAGGAGAGTGACGAGTTATGAAGGAGAAATATTGGCGATGTACAAAGAGAGAGTGATTTCGGGAAAGCCGAAAGATACACAACGAATTGCACAATAAGAGATAGAATGTGACTGACTGAGAAGTGATGAACACAGCGTTATATAATATGAATAGAGAGGCTAAATATGAGTAGCTAATGATTGTTTTACACTCAGCATGCTGTGATTAATTCTATATAAACATAGTTGTGCATGTGAAATAGCCGTTCAAGCTATATATTATGGCTGAAATTTGACAAAACTATTTACTTCAGAATTCGGTGTACTCATTCGTTTTTCTCTCGTTTTTCGTTTTTCGGCGACTAACAACTTGTGACAGCTGACAGACAGATCTACAGTTTTTATCATTGTTCAGCCAAAACCATAAGAGGTAAGACAAAAAAAAGTCCACCGATCTGGACAGAATCGTCAGTTGGTGTACTTCTTCGACCTTCGAGTAAAAGTAAGTTATTTGAACAATCGATCCATTTTCTCACTAAAAAGATTGTTCAAATAACTTACTTTTACTGCTCGTTGGTGTCATGGTGAATTACTGAGTGCTGCTGTGGACAGGAGGGTGGGGAGTGACTGTAGTTGACCATGTAGCTTGGTCTTCACTAGTTGATAAAAGTGCTAATAAATCCCGATTCAGCGATTTAACAGATGTTGTATTCAGATCGGGTTTGGTATTTTCAGATTTTTGTTGCGTAGTCGTCGATGAATTTGGTGAACCCAATGGTTCATTACCACCTGCAGTCCTTCCGCTCGGTCTATTTGATGTGGTTTTCGCTGGAGCTTTCGATGGTATTGTTCTCGATGTTTTTCTTATTATATATTTCATCTCTAAGATACAGCCAAGTTCTTCATTACGCGCATCTATAAACAAACATAAAAGGTAACAACATAGATCTAGAAAATAAACACTACCACGATGATCAGCATGGTTAATTATCTATGTACCATGTGTTTTTGAGATTCCAAAATCTGTCTGGTACCAGATAGAGTGGTGGCCGGAGGGTGAGTATATCTGCGGGATCATACAACCTGAAGATTTGAATCTTGTATTATAGAGTTACACTGTCAACGCGTTCGAAAACCCCTAGAACTTTACGAACTAACTCTTTTGTGTCTTTTTTTGTTTTCTTTTTATTCACTTGTACCATTTGGACAACATATAATGCGTTCTTACCCGGTTTGTTGCTGTGGTGAAACCAAATAAACTTGTTTAAACTAAAACCATTATCACCATGTTTTTATATTCTATCCTCTTGAGTAGGTTTCCTTGCTCAAGCGTGCGTACTTTCATAAGCTGGCGCATCTAATCTGCGTATTTTAGCAATTCTTCTGATACACAGTACAAGTGGGCATGCACCAATCATTATTGAAGATACTGTACAATATTATTTTATACCCATTATTTTGGGACTAATAATATTGTGCTCCACAACAATGTGCAGTTGTTATGGAGAAACACCGATGTCTTCAGCAGAAAACATGTAGTTCTGGTGGAGAAATATCGATTTCTTCAGGAGAAAACCTGTCGTTGTTGCGGAGACGGTATTCATATTCTCCACAAGAACAAATCGGTGTTTCTGTACGAGAACTTCATATTTTGTCCGGAAGACTTTTTTCTGAACAAGTCGTTGTTTCTCCACAAGAACTGCGTGTTTTCTTCTGTAGAAATCGGTGTTTCTCACCTCACAAGAGCTTCACATTCTCTCTGATGTTTTTTACCCAACTAATCGGTGTTTCCTAACAGGTTTTTTCCTGACGAAATCCGTATTTCTCCACAAGAAGTTGGTGTTTTCTCCGGATGAAATTGGTGTTTCTCCAAGAGAACTTCAGGCTTTTTCCTGAAGAAATCCGTGTTTCTTCGCCAGAATTTCAGGTTTCTTTCTGACTAAATCGGTGTTTCCTAACAGATCTTTTCCTGAAGAAATCGGTATTTCCAGGCAAGAACTTCGCGCTTTCTCTTGAAGGAATCGGTCCTTCTTTACAAGACCGTCACATTCACTGCGGACGAAATCGGCGTTTCTTCACAAGAACTTGAGGTTTTTTCCTGTTGAAATGGGTGTTTCTGCACGAGAACGTCGTATCTTCTCGTGAAGAAATTACCTTAGTGAAGCTTTTTTTCTCAAGCACATGACTTTCTTGAATTTCTTGAGCAAGAATCTCATGGTGTGGAGACATTTCTTACTCATGCAAAACGCATTTTTTCCGATGTCATGCGCTTGACTTTCTTGACTCATGTGCATGAGTTTCGTATCTCAAGAAACTCATGCGCATGAGATTCTTACGTCAAGCACTTGAATTTCTCATGCGCTTGACTTTTTTGAGCCAAACTTTTCTGTCTTGTCTTTTCGATCTGCTTTGACCAATGAAAGTCGTAATTTTGATTTCGTTCTTTCAATGTGAATATATAGAAATGACTGGACATGTCTGTGTCAGCGTCCAAACTCCGATCCAGGCCAATCTCAGATTGGCCTAGGCCAAATTCCGATCGGAGTTTGAACTAGTCTAAACTCCGATCGGAGTTTGAACTAGTCTAAACTCCGATCGGAGTTTGACCTGTAATTTCAGTAGTCCAAACTACGATCGGAGATTCGACTAGGCCAATCTTGGTCGAAGGAAAAAATTGCAGTCCAAAGTT